CTTCCTCTACATTAGTGATTTTCAAACTTTGGCATGCAGGGCAATCACCTGGAGGGCTTGTTAAATCACAGATTCCTCCCCCACCCGTCACCCCCAACACACACACACAGTTTCTGAGTCAGTAGATCTGGGGCAGGAGTTTGAGATTTTGCATTTTTAAAAAGTTCCCAGGTGGTGTCCATGCTGCTGGTGCAAGGACTCTACAGCTCCAGATCTAAGGTGGTGATAAGAGAATGGGTTTCTCCTTTTCCCCCAAGGCAGGTGTTCAGTGGGACATGACCGAGAAAAACCCCAGGGGGAGGGCTATTCAAGAATGCTTTCTGCTGAATGTTTTTAGAAGGAAAGTGCAGTATGCCTTTCTGCTCTCCTATTCCCATCTTTCCCGCTTTTTCTGCAAGCAAGCTCTCTGGGTTATGCAGAAACCTGTGTTGCATATAAATATTTGCTTGTATCCACCCTGTGGTATCCACCCATCTGCACAGTCTCGAGACTCGTTCAGGAGGGCAGTGGGCTGGCTCAGGTTCAGCTCTGGGTGCCAGCTTGGTGTGGCAAGAAGAAGAGGGGACCTGGCAAAGAGTTCGTCACTGGAAGGCCAGTTTTGAAAGGCCACTTGTGAAATAGTTTCCAACAATCACATCTCTGTCCTTTACCCCCCACCCTGACTCCCCAAGCATGAGTCCAGGCAGCCTAGGCCAGAGTCCCTGGATAGAGAGGCTCGTGGGATGAGTGCCTCCTCTGGTCCTGGGAAACTGGGGACCCTCTGGAATAATCAGGTGTAAACCCCTCCCAGTTGCCTGGGCTGTAGAGCAAAATGCTCTGGTTTGTCTTCCCGAGGCAGCTCTGCAGCAGGAGGGATGGGGGCTGCCCTCGGCACTGAGTGGGAGGAAGACTATGCAGGACCAGAGCCATACATTTGACTTCTGGGATGGAAACAGATGAAAATAGAAACAGCATAACTTCATGTAACCGATCCAAAAGTTTATCAAGTTTATCTTGAAGTTCATTTCTATGAGCCAAGAAATTGAGGTCTGAAGTAGTTGCTTCCTCTGAACCCAACATGAGGCTCCGTGTCTGGGCCTTGCTCCTCCGATGGCATCACTCCTAGCCCAGTCCTGTTCCTTCTTCCTTGAAAGAGCATCCCCCGCTGCCACAACACAGACACACACCCCCCTCATTCCTCCCTCCCCAGGGAAATACTAAAAAAACCTCGATTCTCACTGTAGGGTCAGGGCAACGTCTGATGCTTGAACTCGAACATCGTTTGGCTTGGTCTTTGTCATCCAGGGTACAAGGGTCAGACCGCAGCGCAGCATGGAGACACCTCCAGTTAGAGTTTTTTCCCCATGTTAGCTGATCCTCTTGGCCCAGAGCCATTGACTTTTTTTCTGTTTGTGACTCACTCCCAGAAGAGTGGGTATGCTGTTTTTATTTTTAACCAAGGGGAAGGATTATGACAGTGAGTTTGAGTGTGTGGTCAATGTGTGAAGTCACTTTCGAGGTGGCCCCAGAGAGCGTCGGTTCCCCCTTTGGGTGAGTTGTTTCAAAGCTGTCCCTTAACTCCCTACTGAGCTTCCTAATAGGAAGAAAAAGGGAAGAACAGATATGGTCCAACTTTCTGAAGGGGAAGTTTTTGGTTTTGTTTGGCTTTGAGGCATTTGAAGTCTCCTGAAATCCCCAAAGCATTTAGGGACCTCCCAGTGATTCCAACAGCACTACACAGGATCTGCACAGCATCACTGGACCTGTCAGGACAGGTTAGCTTACGCTGCAGTAATAAACAACCCCAAATCTCTGTGCCTTTAAACCAGAGACTTCTTTCTCACCCACATACATGCCCTCTGCCAACTGGCAGGAAGACCGTTCCTCAAAGCCACTCAGGGATCCAGGCTGATGGAGTAGCCGCTCCATCTAATGTCACCAGTAACTGGTGCCAGAGGGAAGCCGAGAGAGCCCAGAGGGTCCTACGTCAGCCTCTAAAAGCTCTGGTTACCTCCACTCACAACTCATGGGCCAGAACTAGTTACACAGCGCACTCTGCAAGGGGAGCAAGAAGTGCAAGTCTGCTGTGTGCTCAGGACGGGCCAATAGCTGGGAATATTTGGCAAACAGCACTAATGACCACTGCAGTCTTCAAGGGCACAAAGCAGCTATTCATTTAATAAGTAAGTAACATCCGTGATGTATCAGGTGTGTTCTAAGTGCTAAAGGTACAACAGTGAAATGGAGCTGTTCCTGAAGCTTACATTTTCGTGGGAGAGCCAGATAATAAACATAGAAACATAAGTGCAATATAAAGTCAGGTTGTAAATACTATGGTGAAAAATGAGGCACATTAAGAAGCTGGAAGGTGACAGTGGCTAATTTTAAATTGGGTGGTCTCCGAGGAGCAGACATTTAAACACAAACCTGAATGGAGTAAGCCGTGTCTCTGTGAGCAAGGATAGTCCACCTCCAGGGATTGACTCGGTAAATCTGGATATCGGCCCGTCCTTTATAAGAGAAGTTTGATTAACGTGACCCCTCCCTAGGTATTAGAGGGAAAACACTCTGACCCTTGTTGACTGTGGGATTCTGGATCTCGGAGCTACTTCCTTCTCTTCTTGGGCAGCTTGTTGCACACACAGCTTGGCTTCTCAAGGAAGATGTCGCTTACAATGTGTAATACCTTCCACTGCTAGACTATGAGCAGGGACCATGACCAAACTTGTCAGGGAATTAAAATGTGTTTGAAAGTCTCTTGTAAAATGCTACATGTTTACTCAAGAAATACATATTTACTCAAGAAATATGCATCGAATACCTACTACGTGGTGGGCACGTTTGGCTCGAATGACTTCATCTTCATGGCCAGCTGCCATTCCTACCTTACAGATGAAAAAATGAGGCTAGAGAAGTCATGTGACTGGCCCAAAGAGGTGTCACAGTCTGGACTCAAATCCGTGATTTTTCCTTTGCCCTGTACAGCTGGCGTGGTAAAGGGACAGTGCTTAAAAATCTCTGATCTCGCTTTGGAGTTGCAGTTTAAAGATCGGCAAAATCTCGCCTTATTTTTCTTTCCCTGTCAAATCCTGTTCAGCTTTCTAGGTCTAGTCCGAGTGTCCTCCCAGAGTCACCTGGACCTAATTCATCGCTCCTTCTTCTGAGTTCTCATCACCACTTGGTCTCTCCTATTCATGTCATCCTAATATGAATCACGATGAAACTTTTACATTATCGCCTCTCTCACTTGGGTCTTGTTAGTCTTTTTGGTCACACCATTCAGGGCAAACAGGAGGTACTCATTAAACGTTTAGCGACGTGAACTCAGCTGTCAGCTCCCCTGCCTGTTCCTAATCCAGGACTTCTCTTTTAACATCCCTTGGAGCCATGACATCTGGGGAGGGGGTGGAGATGAAGAAATTGTCTGGTCTAGGGTGAACAGAACTGCTGGGGCCTGGGCGGAAGTGGGAACTCCACTTAAGATTCATGCGCATCCTCCAAAGTTACTGGTCACTGGGGTGGATTTTCTGTCTCCAGGTGCTAGTAATTGGCCATCGGTGAGGGCTGGTAGGTCAACCCCTTTCAGAGGGACGGGCTTTCTTTGTATCACCAAATCAAGCACTCCCACGGGGATCACACAGATCCTTGACAGTGCTTGGGGACATAAAGGGCAAACCAGAGTGGGGATGTGAGTGGGCACATGAGGGCTCCTGGAAAGGTGTCACTGCAGGGTCGGGGTGAGTGGGGCTTGTTTTAAAGCAGTTTCGTGGCGCCGCCTCCATCTGTCTGTCTCAGTTATGGAATTTTTCCATCCCAGGCCGCTCTGCCAGGCTTATGATAAGGCTTGTTTGTGTATGTATGTTTCTCCTTTCCGTGTTGGAAAAACTCAGATATTCCAGGCAGATTTGTCAGCAGCTTTTTCTCCTCAGCCAGAAGGGAGGCTCCAAGTCACAGCCACTTACATTCCAGCACTAAGCCAGTTCTGGGCCCATCGCTGTGGCAGGAAGCCATGGACTGGCGTTGTGAAGACCGGCAGGAGCAGAGCAGCCCAGATGACCTCGCAGGCTACCCCTGCTGCACCCAGCCCACCGCGCGCGCCCCTCTCTCTCTTCTAGGCCTTTGCCTTGTTCTTCTCATTTCTGCTCCTTCTCCCCCCTCATTCTCTTCCTCCCTTTCCCTCTCCATCCCTCCCTTCCTCTCCAGCCTCCCTTCTGCCCCTCCCACTCTCTTTCCTTTCTTCGCTCCCCTCTCTTATCTCCCTCCCTCCCTCTCTCTGGCAAAGGGCACGGGAAAGGACCCGATGGCTTCAAGCGGCTGCTGCTTGTCATTCTGAGCTTCCAAGGAAAATAAAATTGAAGCGACTTTGGGTCATTCTGGCCCGTTCCTTACCCCTTCCCATGGGGGAGCCTGGTTCAGGATGCTTTATGAGATGGAGGGACAAGAAGCCAGGAATCTCCCCCTTTACCAAATCATGGAAGCAGTTTGGAAGGGAACCCCAAATGACCAGTGGCGGTAGACCTTTGAGGCCTCCCCAGCTGAAGTGAGAGCAAAGTGGGTCCAGTAGGAGAGTGGCCAGCCAGTGTGGAGATCTATCCTGTCCCTTACACTGGCTTCCTCGCCTGGGCTGTCAGAGTGGGGGAGTGGCGCCTAGTTCAATGTACCACCCACTGCCCACCTGCTGGGCCATTCGCATGTCCTCCACAGGACATCTGCACACTCTGCCTCAGTGTCCTCAAACGTTAGCTTGTGTAAGAATCATAGCCATACGAGGGACTCTCATCAACAGTGCAGGCTCCTGGGCCACACGCCCTGACCGGTTGGAATCGGGAGGTGGGTGGGGTCCTGGAATCTGTGTTGAACCCGGACACCAGCCTATGAAGAAGAAACTGCGTTGATTCTGAGAGCCACAGAGACTACTGACCTGCAGCACCAGGGTGCAGAGAGCGGCAGCGGGCCCTGCAGAGCTGGCCGCACTTCCGGGGGGAGCTGGGAACATGCGCCTCCCATGTCATTTTAGTTAGACCCCCCCCCTTTTAACTTGAACCAGCTTGTTTTAAGAAGTCGTGAATCTGAACACTGTATGGACACTTCCCAGATATTTGTGACCAGTCTGAGCCACCGACAGCCTCTCTGGGACGAGAGCTTCTGTTTCTTGACAAGCCCTGAGCAGGGGCCTCATAGCCGGGGTGGGAGAGGGTGGGGCGCGGCAGGGGGGTGGGCGCACGGAGAACTCACATTGTGTTTCAGGCATTTTTGTGGAAATATCTAATCTATTCCTACCCATAACGTTGAAAGATATCATCTCCATTTTACAAATGAGGAAACTGAGGCACAGCGTTTCAATCTACCCTCTGCGCAGGCACCAAAAAGATATATCTTTAAAACACCAGTTGGATTTGAACTAAAATCTGTTTCTATGGACCCCTGTGGAAAAGCCCAGGTTCCTTAGTGCAGCCTTTTGGCCTAGCTCCTCCCTTTCATCGACGCCGACTTCCCACTTCCACTTACTCTCCAGTGACACGCATACCTGTCGTTCCTTCCGTGCCGAGGCTGGTGCTGGTCCCGCTGCTGGGATGCCTTCCATGCCTTCTTTGCTAGGTAACTCAGCTCACCTGCCAAGCCCCAACATGGCGTCACCTGCTCCCCAAGTCCTTTCCTGACACCTTCCCGGGCTGAACTAAACACCCTGCCCTGTGATGACGGTGAGGTGATTGCACTCGAGCTGTGCATTCCCATCTCAGTGCTGTCACGATACTGAAACGCCTGTCCCCATCGAGGTGAGCGCCACAGGGGCAGGCAATGCGCCTTAGTCACCTGGCTCACCTCCGGGGCTCACTTCACATCTCAGGGACTAAACGGGCTCTTCACCTTACGTGTTGTGATAGGGATCACCACAGAGAACAGAGAGGGAAGTTTAAGAGATCTTCAGACACCTGAGAATCTTACAAGGTTCTTCTGGCTAAGGGCCTTGGTCCAGTTCTCCACTCCCTGCTGAGATGGAATAAGAAGCTCTGTAGAACTTTAGATGGGTATAGGCACCCATGTTGGTGGCTCTGCCAAGCACAGGAATGAACTGAACTCTTTGAGTATGTCCCCTGCTGGGCTTAGCTCATGAGATCGTGAAGCCTGGATCCTATCATCCCCCGACAATCTGCAATTGGCTTTCAGGGATCCCTTGGCTCTTTTGCTGAGCTCCACCAAGCACATGGAGTCCAGAAGCAGCCAGGGAAAACCCACTGTGACTTCCCTGCAGGGCCATGACTCACACCGGCAAAGTTACCAGGGGTGGCCAGCACCCATGGGCATCGAAGAATCAGCTGGCTCCTAGGGCCCCAGAATCTGAAACCACTGGGCTTAAGCGACCCATGGGCATGAGACCCAAACAGCACACACGAAGCCACTTAGGCCTGATGCAAGCAAACCCCCAGCAACCCTCCCTTGGGTCTCTAGAGGGCGCTGGTGTTTCCATGGAGAAGCAGCACAGAGGATGTCAGATGCCGGGACTGGATTCCTCACTTCTGCTCCCGTGGATCAATGGGTCGATGGGTCGTCAGGCAGAGTGGCTTCTGAGGATGTGGAGGCTCCGGGAAGTTGGGGAGGAAGGATTTCTTGGGTTATCTGGGGTCAAGCGTAATAGACTTTGTGCTGCAAAGCACAACGTGGAGCTTCTCACGGGTCTCCCTTCCCTGTTGGGGCTACTTTACCGCATGCCCCCTCCTCCTAATGCCCCTAGGCCAGGAGAGTATAGTCCAGCTCCAGTTAAAGGACCTGTGGGTACTGTGGGGGAAAGACTAAATTTGCACAAATCTGAATGCCTTACCCAGGTACGATTCTAGATTCTAGACAAAATTAAGGAATGCTCCAAATGACCCATGGTAGTGCTCAAACCCAATATTTAGGACACAGCCTATGTTTTGAAGAGTGTTGGGGATAGGGGGAAAGGAGTAGGCACTTAGATGGTAGATTTGAGGTTAATAAAAAAAGAACTTCTTTTTCCCAAAGTTTCAGGCCCATTATACAGCTTCCCAAATGACAGGAGTCAAGAGAAGAGACAGAATAGGAAGGCAAGCCCTCCCCGCTGGGGGCCACCCCTCTTGAGCTTTTCCCTGAAGTTAGGGCCCATTTAGGGGAAAGGCAGCAATCAGGAAGTGACCAGTCCCATCTCCATTTCCCCATCCTTCTCCTCACAGGTCCCACCCCTGTGCCTGCTGGGAAGCCAAGCACACCCAGCCAAGGTCCTTCCCCTGCGACACATACGGCCCAGTAAGAGCCCCTTGGAAATAAAAAAGAAGCCCACGTTTATTCCATTTCTTCAAGGTGCAGGACTTTTATCTCAAAACTCTGACTCTCAGGCCTGTGCTAATTGCATGGCTACTATCGACCCCAGCTGGCTGCATATCCCAAAACCTGGCAGTGCCTCAGAGGGAGAGAGGAGGGAATGGGCCCTGGACAGCGGCATCCGGCCTCCGCCACCCATTCTCTCCAGCTTAGGCTCAGCCAGACCAAGAGCAGAAGGAGAATTGGGCTCTGTGATAGCTGTGGCCGAGTGTGGTAACCCTCAGAAATTACAGGAGAGGGGAGAGAGCTGTATGTCCAACAAGAAACACCTTGAGAGGAAGGAAGACTGAGATTAGGTTGTTTGATCCAAACCCCAGGAGGTCTTGTCGTCTGTTCCCTGAGGAGCGAAGCCCTGTAAACCAGAGGGGTGGGTGAGAGGCTCTTGATGCCTCTTCTCCCCATGGCCCGGCCAGGTTCAGCTGCGCATGCCAGGGTGCTGGAGGAGCCGTACCTGAGCCCACATAAAATATAAAGTTCAGCACAGGCAGTAAGTAGGTCCTGACAGAGACTGTCTGGTGCCCCAGGTCCTGTGTGCTGCTTCCTGCAGAAAGGCAGTGGAAGGTAATGCTGGTGACATCTCCCAGCTGTTGGCCAGGAGGGAGGTAGGCTGATGAGACGGGACCAGGTATCATCCTGTGTTGGGTCCCACAGTGTAGGCAGGAGCACAGTGTTCGAATGATTCTAATGCTTCAGGATGCCGCGTGCACGCCAAGGAGCTCAGACATCAGGAGCCGATTGGACCCTACTTAACCTGTAATAAAAGGGGCAAGTTAGCTTCTGCTACCCAGGTGGAGGAGCCTGCAGGCCATACCCCAGGGCCCAACACAGCTTTCAGAAGCTCAGAGCCATTTGAGTCCTCAGCCGTCCTCTGGCAGCCTCCGTGTCCCTGGACAAGAACTCTGGTTCTCATCCCTGACTACACAGCTGGGAAGCTTATAAAACTCCCCCACCCAGGCCACACCCAGAACCTCTGGGGGCAAGACCCTGGCATCCGCACTTTTAAAGCCTCTCCTGGTGAATCCAGTGCAGCCGGGGTGAGGAGGAGGGAAAGGAATTCAAACGGGTTCTTTACTCTCTCTGGCTACAGCTGTGAATAAGGAAGTGAAAATTCACTAAAATAAAGTTTTGAGCTATCTGTAAATAGGCTACATATCGGAGCAAGAAAAATTTATATCGGCACTAAAATTAGAACTTCCTGCCCGTGAGGGCTGTTTTGGAAAGGTTTTCCAAGAAGCTGTTGAATCGCCTTTTTGTGGGTATTTAAGGGGATGGATTCTCCCCTTGCTGGAGTGGGACATGGAAGAGATGCCTCCTCAACCCACGGACCCTCTGAAACTCTGGGCACAACCACCAGCTCTGCCCCTGGCTTCCTAGAATCCCGGATTGGTGTGGCCTCTGGGGAACACTTACCATTGGTGAGTCCTTCCCTCTACATGTCCTCTCCTCCCTCCCCAGCACATTGCAGATCTCACCCTATTTAATCCCATGATCACATCACGAGGGAGGCATCATTACATAGCAGAGGAGGGAATTAAAGCTCAGAGCTGAACAAACCTCCCAGCGTCAGGCAGCTGGTAAGGAGCAGTCAGGAGTCAGATCCTGCTGGAATCTCTGCCGATTTTTCCACCATGCCACTGGTTCTCAAATGGGGAAGTGCCAGATATGAGGATGATGGGGAGGGTGTCCTCACCCTTGCCTGAGCAAGTGTGTATGTGTGTAAGTAAAGCCCACTGACCTTCAGGGCAAGGACCCTCTTGATTTTGAGATGATGTCCTTCCTTCTCTTTGGTGTTAAAATGTGCTTTATGAAGTGAGATACTGGGTGGCAGGTTTTTTTTCCCCCTTCAGATGGGCTTATTTGATTATATGAGAAGTTGGTTACTCCAATTTTCTTCTGTGAGTTTCACGGGTGCACAGAATCCAAAAATCTGAGCCTGCTGACTCCCCCCGTACCCTCTCCAGTACCCTCACGTGCCCAAAGAGGGGAATCTCCTCAGGTGGTGTCTCTAACGCTGGGCCTGCAGCTTGGGGGTGGAGGGGGTGCCTGGAGCATCTGCACAGAACAGGGGCCCAGCAAGGACAGAGGAACATGGGCCTTGGGCAATTAGCCTCGGTTTCCTAGTATATGACATGGAGATGAAACAGCACCACTCTTAGGATGGGTGTGAAGTCAGGCTGGTTGAGGCATCAGGCAGAGTCCACACTCAGCCACAAATCCACATGCCCCGAGCCCTCATCTCTGACTCACTGAGAATAGTTTTACATCAAGGTCAAATGAATTCTCTTTTTGGACATACAGCAATTGCTTAAAATTAAATGAAATTTTCATCTCTGACTGCACTATATTCTCAAGACTATAGTGGAAGCCTACACCTTGGGAGGATGGCGACTCACCCATGGACAGGCCAAAGTGCCAGCGTGACTATATGGAAAATGGACAGCTGTCATCCAACCTGCATGGTTGGGTACAGGGACCCTGAGCCCCTGAGGCAAGGGTGGCTTAAGGACCCAGCCCTCCCCGGCATAGTGGGGACTCTTTACCCTTCAATGATGCGGTTGTTGTCCTGGAGGTCAAAGGCCAGCAGCTTCATCTCCTCATAGAGCTTTTCCATGCTGTCCAAGGCAGAGGCAGGAGAGGCACTGCGCCTGAGGCCAGAGCTGGTGCCCGGACCCCCTCCCCGGGAGGCCCACCACCAAGCCTCTCTTATCTTGACTTCTAAGCCTGGTATGAGGCTAAAACCCTGCAGCTCTAACCTCAGCACCCAGCCCCTGACCCCCTCCTCGCCCCCCATCACACACACACATCCCTCTCTCTCCGACACTTACTGGACACCTAGGTCCCTTAGGGCAGGACTGGCATAAGTTGCTACGGGGGGTGGTGAGGCCTGAGCCCCCTTTGTTCTGTCCTGAAGTAGCTGGTGAGATAGCCCGTCAAGGATCTGGAGGGAACCACACTTTAGTCAGAAGGGAAGACACAGATCACCTTTGAGGAAGGGGAGGTGCTGGGGGATGGTAAGAAAAGGGTAACACAACAGCCCCCAGCCCGTACCCCTGGAGCACCCGTACCCCTGGAGCACCCGAACCCTGGAGCCGAACCCACAAGCCTCCTTCCCATCCTGAGAGCGCAGCTGCCACAGCCACCTTCACCCATCTGTGACTGATTTAACGATCCAGACTGCCAACTACTCTGCTTCTACTCCACCTCCTCTGAAGCAGGAGCTGGAGCTGCAGAGGTGTAGGGGGCGGCCTAGCACCAGCTCTGGACGAACGCGGCTGCTGCTGTGCCTGTGCCGGGAGGGGAGAAGGAGCCCTGCTCCGTTCCTGTTGGCACAGCAGGCGGCTTCTCCAGCTGGTCTCTTTACACAAGGCAGATCAGAAGGTCAAGGAGAGCTCACATTGCCTCTCTAAGGAGTGGCCTGGAGATGCCCAGGCTGCACGGGGCACGAGGAAGGTGTCTCAGCATCACGGAGGCTCTGCCCTCACAGGAACCTTCGGTCTGAGATCACCAGGCAGTGCCCTCCACTCTTTCTCCATCCCCACCTCAGGGCACCTCTGTGGGTCAGAAACCTCCAACCCCCACCAATGTGCTTGGACTCAGTCAAGGGCAGCTCTGCACAGAGGCAGGGGAATGGCCCGAATGCCCTTAGAGTACCGGATTGACCTGGCTTTCCTCAGCCCCAGGTGCCCCGCAAAATTCTCACCTTGCTGAGGCCCTCCTGGACCCCCTGGGCTTCTGTGTTGCAGGCAGCCACGGAGCAGCCGACCAGGCGCAGGTGGTTCCTGGCCTTGTGCACCAACCTCAAGAGAACAGATGAAAAGTCAGAGCCGGACTCGCTGGCTCTTGCCGGGGCCCACCCAGCTGTGGTTCAGCTTCCAGACAACAGAGGCCAGAGCCCGTGGGTCCCAGGCACTGGCCTCCCTCACTGCCTCTTATCTTCTAGGTGTCTCCTCACCTCTCACCTGCCCCACTGTAAGAATGCTCACGTACTGACTGAGGCTGGTGAGGGTCCCAGCACAGCCCCATGGGAGCTGCAGACACGCATGTGGCTGGGCCGGGTCACCGGGCCAGGTCACTAGGCCATTTAAGATGAGTGTGAGGCCAGGTCAGGCTCCAGGGAGGACAGCCCACGCTTAATACGGGAACTGCTCATGCTCTCATTTCCAGAGCAAATCCAGGTCAAGGCACATTTATGAATCCACTAAGTGGAGGGAGTGAACAAGAACTTTTTCCCCATTGCACAAAAGGAGACAACGTCCATGGACAGCTTCAACCTGTGGCTGGTTCTCAACCCTGGCTATGCAGTAGAATCCTCTGAGGCACGTTGAAACTACTGATATCCGAGCGAGCTTCACAGCAATTAAATCGGAATTCGGGGTGAGTTGGGGTGCAGGGGCTGGGCACTGTATTCTAACGTGAGGGTGGGTGGGTGCCTGGGTCTCGGCCCTGTAACAAGCCCACAGGTCCCACGGACCTCGGACAGGCAGCTCCTGGGAAAGTGCGTTCTCTCACCAGGAGGAACCAGCATCCCTGCCGGTAGGGCAAGGACCAGGAGCCTGTGAGAAGGGAGAACCCGATCTCCTACAGCGGACAGGGCGCGAGGAGGTTCTATTTAAGGACCCCTGCCTGCCCCTGCTTCCGTGACTAGTTGTCCTCACCCCAGAGGGACCTCGTGTTCTCCCCAGAGAGGCAGGACTTTCCAACGCGACCAGCTGGGACTTTGGGAAGAACCAAGATTTCAGTGGCAGTTCCGCTCATGTGCTGGTCCTGGGACTGCTCCTTACTAGCTGTCTGGTATCGAGGAGGAGACCTGTTCCCTGAGCCTCAATTTCCTCGTCTGTGAGATAGGGTGACAGTATCTTCTACACAGGGAAGATACAGTGGAGTTAAACAGGCTATGGTACAGAATCACCCAGCAGACTGCCTGGCCACCTAAGGCTGCAAAACTACCATTTCTTTGCCTGTGTCACTTTGTCCCACCTGCCTCTCAGTCAGGGCTCTGCAAAGCCAGGGCTGTCTGAGCCTAGAAGGGCACTGGGATCCATGAGCTCAGGAGGAAGGGCCAGATTGGTACCTCATCCGATTGCCATGCGTGACTAGGGATGTCTGATACTTCTGCACGCACTCCTCCTGGAACACCTGCAGGAGCCTTTTGGCTAAGTGACTAAAATTCACCCTGAAAAGACAGGGAAACAGAGATACAGAGACGAGCAGTCAGAGCTCCCTGAGCACAAGCCCAGCACCTCTGAATCTCCACCACCTAAATGCCCAGCCGCTGAGCCTGTGGCAGGGCCGTCTCTCCGCTGGAGACGATGCTCACACATGGGATCCTGGCAGTCAGAGCGGCCGGCACACAGCACATGTCAACAGAGAGATGAAGGGGGACAGGGGACTCAAAACATGTACACACTCTCAAGCTCGATCCCCAGAAGGAAGATGAAATGATTATGGATTATGGAAAGGTGTGTCTGTGTGTGTGTGTCTGTGTGTGTGTGTGTATACACACTCTCAAGCTCAATCCCCAGAAGGAAGATGAAATGATTAAGGAAAGGGGTATCTGTGTGTCTGTGTGTCTGTGTGTCTGTGTGTCTGTGTGTGTGTGTGTGTGTGTGTGTGAACTGTCAGGGATGGGTATAGGGTGGGTCTAGATGAGACTGTATAGGAAACAGAATAGCAGACGGAAGCCCAAAGGAGAGCTCAGGCGGAAGTCAGTCATAAGTGGTCGGTCAGCGAGGACAATCAGGAAAAACCATCCTTGTTCAGAAGGAAACCCAGTTTCATCAAGACTGCTTCTGAGGAACCTCCCCCAGACTCGGCCACTGATCTCCCCTGGCTCCAGACGACTGCCCCAGAGAGTGACCCAGCCTTCCTCCTGCCCAGCTACGGTCTGTGACCGCGGCCCTTCGCCACTTCTGGTCTGGCACAGAGAATCGCTCTGCCCTGGTGACACCCACCCTCCTGCTCACCCTCCTGCTGGGGGACAGGCCACTCACTTATCCAGTTTGTGAATCTGCTCCTCGTTGTAGCCAAGCCCTGAAGGAAACAGACAGAAATGATGTTACCTGTTCAACCAGTCAACAAAACAGTGCCGAAAGTGCTGGCGGACAACTACAAAGACGAAGACAGCCTGGCTGGAACCCGCTCTGCGGGAGCTCACAACCCAGTGGAAGCAGGGAAGACAGAAGGAGTGAACCAAACACCGTGACGAGGGAGGGGCGTACCTGGGGCTGGCGAATGCTTCAGGTGAGAATTGGTGGTCGAGACGGGCCCTGAGGGATGCTTCGTCAGCCAGCCCCTCAGCCAACAACCCTTCCAGAGTGACTGATGCCTACAGTTCGTTGGCCTCATCCCCAAATATTCTAGCTGCAGGCAGAGCCAGCTGGGCTCTGTAGCACAGAGCTGGATAAGCCAGGCCACCACCTTCTACTTGCCCTTCTAGGCCCAGCCGCATTTGCTGGAAGGGCTGAAGCTTTCCTGATGTTCTCTGCACTGGAGAGGTGCTGCCCCCTCATGGGCTTTGAAGAAATGGGCATGTGGATCAGCGGCTCTCCCAAAAGGACACGAGGCAGAGGTCACCTTGCTGGCCTCTCTTCACACCCCTAACAGAATCTCCTTCCTGGGCTCTTCATCCAGGTCCTGCTCTCAGCCTGCTGGACTTTCGAAGTCCAAAGTGCAAGTCCCAGCCCTGCGTCCTATTAGCAGAGGGCTGTACGCAAGTGATTTCACCTCACCGAGTCTGTGTCCTCGTCTGTCCTATGTAACACTCGGGACAGGCGTGAGGGGAGAAAACGAGTGCTTCATTATTCACTGTTGAGCATTTATCAAAATGGCATCTTTCAACACCCAACGGCTATTCCTCCTGGTTCATTTTTCATTTTTGTAAAGGACTCTTGAAGACCAGTAGAAACGAAACTCTTCTTGAGGCTGTAAAATGCTGTAGTTAAAAGCAGCTGGACCTAGATTGCTTGGGCTCCTTAAATCTGCGTGTGTCTCGGTTTCCTCATCTATAAAATGTGGAGGCGAATGGTGCCTGGAGCTTTTATGAGCATTAAATAAATCAGGAACATACACGGCACGTAAAAACGGTGCCCAGCACACGGGAGGTGCTCAGGAGGGTTGCGATTATAGGATTATGAAATGCCAGTGATGGAGGCAGAAAAGCCTCTGAGGTGCTCCTAACATCATGGCAAAGGAGGCCACCCGAGGTCAGGCCAGACTGGAGCCCAGGGCCCTGCTGCTTCCAGGAACAGGAGAGACGCAGCCGTCCTGTCTCCTGTGCTGCCCCGCCCTCCCCCTCGGGGGCCAGGCCCAGAGGCAGGATTGGGTTTTCAAGGAGGGAAGGTCACTTTCTAGATCCGGTGGCCACTCGGCACACATGGCTGTGGAGCACTTGACAGGTGGCTAGCTGGACTGAGGAACTGAATTTTTTATTTTAATTCATGAAATTACATTTAAAAACTGAAGGAGGGTAGAATATTTTTTTTTCTCATGAAACACAGCTTTATTGTCTTAGTAAGACTGCATTTCACTTCGTTAAAAAATTAGCTTCCAGATAGATGAGCTGTAAGTGTAAAACACACATGGGATTGTGAAGATTTAGCACAAAAAAAAGAATGTCAAATATCTCTTTAATAACTGGATTTATATTGATTACACGTTGAAATGACAATTCGGAAACACTGGGTTGAATAAAATATATTATTAAAATATGACCTGTGTCTTTCCTCTTTTTGAATTTTGGCTACTAGAGAACTTCAAATTACACGCATAGCTGGCATTATATGTATGAGGCAGCACTTTTTAGATAATCCTAGAGATGGAAGAGAACTTGGCAATGAAGCCGAAGACCTTGAGTCTGCACATTAGGAAATGCTCGGGGCAGGGGTGGAAGAAAGAGGGCTGGATCCTGGCATGTTAGGTCCCCAATCCCAAGAGTCAACCGAGCCCTCCCCAAGCCCTGCTTTCCCCCAGGCTGGACCCTCCCCTGCTCCAAGAAGGCAGTCACCTTGGGCGAGCAGCTTCCCATCCTTGAGCCTGTCAATGCGCTGCCCCAGCCTAGAGGGTCCTCGTGAGGCTTAGCAGATAACGCAGGCAAAGTGCCCGGCCCAGTGACTCTAAATGGTATTTTTTCTGATTCTCCACTTTCTGGAAAACCTGACTATTTTCGTGGGTTAAAGACACAATGGACAGGAAAACACTCCTTGAGCCATAAGGTGTCCCGCAGAGGTGAAGGTTCTCTCTCAAGAGCCACCCAGGCTCCAGCTGCCACATCCCCCATGCTCGTCATCTGAGACCCCCACCTGGCAATAGGCACAGGTGTACAGGCCTCATGTCCCTCACTGGTCTGTAGGCAGCTGGTGGCCAGTAAGCCTTAGACCAGCTGCTCCCTGCCTCCACATGGCACCATCCACATGGTGAGCCTCCGGCAGCCACCCCAGGTAGAGTAAAACAAATAACCGAATATGGAAGGAAGGAAGGAAGGAAGGAAGGAAGGAAGG